GGGGGGGGGGGACGTCAGTAATAAATTACAGTCACAGAGCAATCGTCAAAAGCAGAACTGGAAATAAGCTGATCTAGCGGACTGAACTGACCCATGCATTATAAGGCATCATATAGACATTTGTTACTGACATCACACAGTATTTTCTAACAGTGACTATACAGACAATTGCTGATCTGAAAAACAAAACAAACCTGCTCCATTTAATCTCTTTGATTAACCGTATTTTAAAAAAAAAGTCATATTCCTGAAACCAACAAAACTGTTTTAAGCAAATTGGGAATGTCTCCGGGAGAACAGATCGATGTCTGCAATCCCATTGTACCTATCGATCCACAGATGGGTGAATGAAATAGATTTTCTGAGGTAGACAATGCAGGCATATTTCATTCTCCCGATGTAAAGCCATTCTACGCAGGGTGGGGGGCGGGGCTAATTTGGTCCATTTGGACAGGCTCTGGTCTCCAGCCTCTGCCAATTGTACTGTCAGATGGCTTGACCCATCCATCATGCTCTCCTGCCTGTCTCACCAGTGTGGTACTTACACTGTCACTGGCGTGATACGTCCACCCGGTGATGGATAGCAGACAACATGCACCATGACAACATAGAGAGATCAGTCTGTGAGGCGCGCAGGTCCAGTCATATTCAGTTTAGTCAAAACTCTTTCCACTGTGTTGGGTCCTCGTGGACTGTATCGCTCAGCGTGCGGCGTAAACCTTTGCTGCCCTTCCAGACTTCAGGTCCCTTTTCTGAAAACACGACTGCAACACGAACAGAACCTGTCCAAACGAGAAGCTCAAAGAGCCCGCCGGGGCGTGCACTCCCAGGGGGAAAAAGGTACAATAGTTCATGATAAAAAAAGCTGAACCCGGTTAGATGATACGTTGTACCTCGGTTAAGTGCTACAGGTAGTTAGCTGGACAATCACTGAAATGATGTTCCTCAGATCATCTCTGGCGTGATGAATGAATGTTCGTCATAAATAAAATAAAATACAATAAAATAACCAAAAAAAAAAGTGTGGACTCTTTTTGAGATGCAGGAGGCCCTTTGAAACAGGTCTGGAAGCTGCGAGTCAGGGTCAGCAGTTCTCAGGTGTCACTCCTCATCTTCCCGATGACATGAGCCTAGCTGGTTCTGTCCAGAGGGACGGGGGGGGGGACGGGGGGGGTGTGGAGCCATAGGGCATCCCAGTGAGTTCTGATGAGCTCGCCTCCGAGCGACGGAGAGCACTATAGTGTCCTGATAGCTACCGGGTAGAGCAGGGACATGTGCTCGGCGCCCTTGATGGGGAGCTTGCGGCTGGAGTAGAAATGGATGATCTCGGGCACGCTGTCGAAGGGGCAGCTGTTCTGGCCCAGGATGTACTTGCTCTCCTTCGTCCGGGACAGCTTCATGTGCATGAAGCCCTGACTGCTCCTGGGGAGAGACCACAAAAAGGGTTTACCCAGTTAAAACAAGTCTGACCATCTTATGGAGGCTGTTAGCATTTCCCATTGAACAGATTATCCAGAATCTAAGATTTTAGATCCTCTCAGTTTTAGAACGATAGATGAACAACTTTTTGGTTGGTCTCAATCATGTCTTTACTCTTTACACAACCATCAAGGGTCATTATCAAAGGCATGTTAAAATACACCTCATCCTGTATGCTTTTTGCTGCCGCCCGTCTCTTTATGCATTTAAATGCTCGTATACTGCTGTGCAAAAAACACTATCCTGTTTATTGATGGCAATATGATTAATCGGTGTATTTGAGTATTAACAAACATTACAGGATTATTTGAAGGAGATGGAATCTGTGTGTCTGTTTTCTGATTACTCAGTCAGACCTTTCCTGGGTGCTGAGACAGGTTAATGGGAACTTGTTTTGGTTATTAGTTCCTGATCTAATTGGGGTGCTGACCTCTCATTAATAATATTCACTTTTTATTTGATTAAACATTAATATCTGTCCTTGAAGAAGTGTTAACGACGCTCAAAGCTAAACCTGCTCTGTGTAGGCTCCCCTCCAGCTGATAACTTTGAGGCCACCTGGGGGGTAGACTAAAAGGAAAGTTTCTTAACGCGCTGGCTTTCACATGCAGAGCATAAGGATGAGGCTAATGAACCCTTTACACAAATCACTTAAGCTACGGCAATAAATGCACAGCAAATTAAAAGCCCCCTGTGTGTTTCCAGGAGCCTCCGATCAATGCATTTTACAGCTTGCCAGTAATCTTCTGCTTTAAAATAGAAAATGACTTTTTTTTTTTGTTAAGAGATGCGACAGTAAGCTTCAGCGACGGGGCTTCGTACAAAACAAATGTTCCCCATGGCCTGCAAATGTACACTTATGATACATTTTTCCCCACAAAAAACATTAGCATAATAGCTCCTTCAATCGGCAGCTAATGCCTCTGAGACACAGTGATTGCTGTTGGCTCAAATACTGTCCTCAGACATTATGGCATGTCCCCCGCATAATGCAGGCCGCTTTTTTTCGGCTCACTGCTCTCCCACCTGTTCCACATTGTGTCAAATTTGTTCCTTAGATTTTTCTGAAACCAAAACACGGTTTCTGCTTGCTTTTACCAAAGGGAAAAAGAAAAACGAGTCTAGTTTACGAGTTGTAGTACTAATGACTCAGCTCGTAAGGATGTGAGATGTCAGCATTTTGCTTTAAGTGCATGTCAGACTTATGGAATATGACTCCTAAGGAGGCAGGTGGATGGTAAGATGCTACTGAGACATGAGGAGACCATCACATTTTTTCCTCTTTAAAGATCTAAACACAGAAAAGCTGTCGTGGCTGTTGATGGCATTTACAACTTTTCTCTCTGTCCTGTATTTTACCATTAATACATCTATTTCAGATGTTCAGAATATGAATGTATTCATACTGATTTACTCCACTTATAGCATCCCACTTTGAGAAGCATGGTAGTGAATTTCAAGATAACCGAGTAGGAAATTCATGAGTCCTGTGCACTTTATATGGAAACTGATGGGGATGGTTGAAGTATTTGAAAGCTAAAAAGCTTTTTTATAGATGAAATGAGGTGGAGTGCTGCAGGCTTGCGGAGCCATAAAACTAAAGTAAACAAACTATGAGGCTTCTCCATTACCACGCCTCTGGCCGCCATATCTGAGCGCGTCGTTAAAAAGTTCATCATGATTTGAGAGCAGGACAAATTTCTCCCGCTGCAGGTCTTTCCAGTTTGATGATTCTGCAAGCGGTGCAATCAAAGCTTATTTAAGTAAAAAAAAAAAAAAAAAGTATCTTCCCGGCAAAGTGAATTTGATGAATCTTCACCAGGAGCGCTGGGAGGAAGATGTTAGGTTATGCAGAGCCACACTTAAAAAGGAAAACACATCAATAGCATCATTTTTAGATTGCCAGCAGCTTTTCCAGTCAGTGTTCAGAGCTGCTTATCGTGTTACAGTCCAGAGGAGACAGAAACCAGGACAACCCAGCAACACAGCGCTGTTGTTGATAAAATGAATATGAGGCTGTTTTTGAGTTGGCACGCCTTTGTGCTGTTATCATATCCCTGTGTTTGTGGACCTCTATTTGTGTAATCAGGATGAATCTCACTGGGGAGGTCTGCTGCCATGTTTATTGAGGTTTATGACTTTGATTTAAACCAAATAGCACTCAGAACAGGAACAGTCTGACAGCTTATCTCCACCTTCAACATATTGCATTGTGAATGATGATCTCAGTGTTATGAATCCACTGCACAAGGAAGCCAAAATGATAACAACCCTTTGCAGAAGATGTGACCTTTAGAAGCATTGCTGGACATCAGATAATGTATCTGACCATTATCTTAGATGAGCACAAATTCAACGAGCCTTTTCTGGGATGATTCTTATCAACCTGTTGGTCACAACTGATTGAAAACTGATTCAAGAATGATGATATGAAACTATGCAAATGCATTTTGTTGGAACTATATAAGATGAGTTTTTGATTCCCCAATATTTGCACTCTTGCATCAAACTGAATTCCTTCTTTGACTAAGCCTAAGTATGTCTTCTCACTATAACTCACTATGTCTCCCAGTGGAAACAAGCTGTGCAGAACTCCCTTGTGAGAAGAAAACAGGATGACAGTACTGTCTGAGACAGTCACGAGGGGTTTCATGTGCTCTACCTGAGAGGGAGAAAATAGGAAAGATATGAGAAGGTGAATGGCACGGACAGAAAAAAGGGCAGCTAAACAGATCCCGGAAAAAAAGCCAGAGGATTTAAGAAGCTGGAGGTCTCAAGGATGCCTGTCTTTATCAATAATGCAATACACATTTGTGCCACCTCATGAACTCATCCATTTTTCAGCCACCTCAGACATGGAGGCCCTTCACTTTGGGTCTCTGCTTATTTCCTGTGGCAGAAGATGGAGCGTTTGTGGGTGAATGTTGAACTCGAGAGCCTGTAGGACGGTGGCTCCTGCCATTCCCACGTATAAGATTGTTCTCTGCGCCTTACATGATTGATGCCACGGCCATGACATGATGCCCTGGGAAATCCAAGAGGTGTCTTGCACAATAAAGGGGATGCATCCACACCACTGTTTCACATAGATGCACATTCTGCCCTCTTTACTGGGAAAACAGTCGACATGGCTTTGGACTGAGAGGATTAAAAGGGAAAATCACTCCAAACTAAAGGATATCAGGGCTGGCAGGGCTCTGCCTGAAGAGTTTGCATGTACATAATTTCTTCTTCAGAAAAAAATACATTAAACAATGTGTGAGGGTAAGTAACAGTGAGGATGCATTCCTAATTTTCTGTCAGTTCGGTGCATCCCTAAATCTATTTATGGTTAAGGCCATAAATCTTTTGGACAGGGGAACAAAATGTAAGATGAAAGAATGGGTTAGTATATTCAGTTCCCGAGAGCCACTGAGGTTAAAAGAAGTCACAACACAGACAAAGACAAAGAGCAATTACAGGCATGACAGAAGTCATCCAATGACTTGGTGAAAGTTGCTGAATACAGTATCAACTCTACACAGAACAAAAAGGAAAGATTATTCAATTCATATTGGAGAATTAGCTTGTATCTTTTTCCATTACTCTGCTTAAAATTGGTTGATTATATCTTGCGTTGCACAATTCCAACATAACAAAACTTGAAGGTGTATTCACTAAATCTACTGTATGTTTCAAACATGATTATGGGCCTAAAAAACGTTCACAAACCACCTTAAATGATTTTTGTGTGACCCTTTTTTCACCTTTTAGGACAAATACAAAAAAAAAAGATTAATGATCCTCAGTTATAAGTGATGCAGTTAGCTTTGATTATTTTAGTTCTCTGTTTATTTCATTCATGTAACCTTAAAAGTAATGTTTTTGTCCCCTCCTCAAATGCATTTTAATGGCCTCATTTAAAATATACAACAGTGGCTTACAGAGCCATAACTAAACATAAAATATAACAATATCCTCTGCATGTATTTATTTATTTTCCAGTCTGTCACACTGACTGGGTTGTAGTCAGCTCCTGTGTCACGGGTCAATGAATCTTATCCAGAAAAAGGCTGTAGCTTAAGTGTAACCACATGTCCGTCCGAAGATAGGAGGACTAACACAGGCAGCCACAATAGCATGGGGAAAACAATCATGAACAGTGCACAGATTTCTATTATTTGTCGAGGCGTATGAGCCTTGAGCAAGATAATATCTGCTGTAACAAAGGCCAGTCAATGTCTCTGCAGATTACAGTTTAATCCAATCTTAAGGCAGACACTGTGTTGGTGAGACTTTTCTAAATGTCATTGAGTCACTGTGGTTAAAAAATGAAGGTGTGTAAAGTAAATGTTAAAATAATATTTATTAAGAGATACTAAGATTTCATAGCCTAAGCAATTTTCCTCAAACTGGTTTTGCCGTACAGTTACAAATGTCTTGCTTTTGTTTCGCACACTGTTGCTATGGTACCTGGTTCTGACACATGGTAGCAAGGAAAATCTGAACCACCCCCCCACAAAGAATAAGAAAAAAAACGGAGAAAAAAAAGACGTACAGCTGCACATTCCCTTCAAAGGAATGGGATGTGACTGCACTGTGGGCTTGGAGCTGAAGTAACCTCTTTCAAATGTCACACTGTAGACTAAACCAATCAAAGTTGCTCCTTTGAACCCTCCGCTGGATGCAGCAACAGCAGGGGTCTGAAAAAAGGGCGTCTTTAACCAAGTTGTGGCCACATCAGCAAATGAAGGGGCTGAGGCTGTCGGGGGGGGGGTTACCGAGGAGCTGGAGGACAGAGCAGGGTCAGGCCGTACAGTAGGAGGGAGACAGGGGGCTGAAGGTGGAACAGATTACCATACAGAAAAGACGCAGGCAGCACACTAACAGGTATGCAACTTGTTCACACTGGACCAGTCAGAGAAAAGACACTGATATCTGTTTTTTTTCACACAGAACCATTGGAAGCACTTTGTGCCTGCGTTTTCACAGAGGTTTGCTGTTGAGGTGGTTAGTGTCCTTACTTAAGGGAGAGCGAGTAGTCATTCTTGCTGGTCTCGCTGTTTCTCACCAGGTAGCTGGCCTCCTTGCAGAGCCTGAGCAGAGACTCTGCATCGGTTCGGCTGATGGCTCCGTGGTACCAACTGCATGTCAACAGCAAGAGATAGATCGACAGTGGGATGGTGAGCATACGTTAGAACAAAGGGGTGAGACTTATTCCTAACTGTAATATAAAAAAAGTAATCGGACTCACAACTGGCTTTCCAGAGGCATCGTGGGGTCGATACGCTCCCCGAGAGAAGAGCTGCAGTGGTCTACCGAGGTCATTTTCGTGTTAACCAGACAGCCGCTGGAGTGTCGCTGCAGGGGGCGACTTTTACCATCCTTGGTGGGTGACATTCGGGACTTTTCCACCCCATCAAACTGGACTGTAATGAAAAAAAATACAGGTAAAGGAAAGGCTACATTTTTTAAATGTTTTCCCATCTCTGATAAATGATACTACACATCCTGGGCATGAACTTCAACCAGACGTTACACTCAGGTCACTTTTGGAGGAGAAAAAAAATAAAGCTTGTGCTTAAAAGGCGGTAGTTATTTGTAAAGCTTAGAGCATAAATCACTTGGATTTGTCGAACGTTGAACTAGATCAGTGTAAATGTGTGAGAACCGAAATCCAGGTTTTACCTTTTCATTCACACACACCCACACAGCCACTTTGTGTAATCATCCAGCTGAAGGGCATGTACACACAGTGGAAGAGGCATAAATCAATCCTTCCCTACTGTGTACACATTCAAGCAAAATAAAACACACACACACATACACACAGAGACAAACTTCCTCTAAAATTGACACACCATGAGCCTGCAAATAGAACCATATGAGCTACAGTGTATGTAAGCATGCTCACTCTTTATGGACACACGAATGTGCAAAATCCAGTTGAGAAAGTAACCACATTTGCACACACACACACCAGACACACACACACACAAAAATACAAGTCCAGCAAGTTAAACATTCAACTGGCTTTTCCTGCTTCCATGGTCTGCTGAGGACATGACAAGCTCTGTTGGCAAAGCTCACAGGGAAGTGTTTGGTGGTATGCGGAGGCTCGAGGTGACCTGTGCTCATGGCACGGCTGTCGAAGGGCACCCGGCAATGTCCCAGCCAGATCCGGACTGAAAAAGCACGGACATTTATTTACAGAAGCTAACAGGAGATCAAAAGAGAGGCTAATATTCACAAGGACGAATACGAGTGATCGAGCACCTGTGGCACAGGGTTGAACACGCTGAGAGCCTGTAGCCAGGCTTTAGGCTGGGGTTGGTGGTCACATGTATGGGCTTCAGACATCTTTCCTCAGTCATCCATCACTATAATTGACGTCAACCCCTCGCCCTCCCCAAAAGGTTTTAGGAAAGACAACTCTTCACAGCCACTGACAGGCTTCTACAGCAGTAACAGAGGGCTGGCTTCCAACATCAATCTTTAGACTTCTGACCAATGAGGACACATGCAGAGGGACAAGAGCGGAAAACAAAAGTCTCTGCTTTGGTGGCTTGAGTCACTGATGCCCCGTTTAATTACCCTGGCTGAAGAACGCACACACTGTACAGACAGAAACTGTGATCTTCACGGCATCGATAGAGATGGACCTGCGTCTGTCTAGACTCTGCATTCCACTCAGAGAACTGCATTACTCTGCGCAGTCTGTGAGCTCACCAAGTGCTCCTGTAACCCACTGAGAGGAGTCAGCTTAGGCTGCATAAGACCAGACACAGTGAGCACCCTGAAGCACGCAAAAAAACAGATAAGTGGGTCCAAACAAAAGAATAAACCATTTTTTTCTCCATAGCAGAATTTTCTTTCTTCTTTTTTCTCGTCTCATCAGACACCTGAAAGCTTCAAACTCACTGGAAAGCATAGTGTATAGCGGGTTATTAGATCCATCTTCAATTCAGTGACTATAGTGAGATTATATTTATATGAATGATAGAAAAGTTTGCTTTACGTCACTTACCATTCTGACAAATTCTTGAAGTACTTATCTGTTGTTTTTGTGGTGGCTGAACCTTTTTTGTTCTTCCAGTAATGTCTGTTGAGCACTGGTTACAGACTGAATGTGGTCAAACATGTACTACAGATTGCTGTTAGTTCATGTCCAACCACCAGGGGCTCCCCTTAACCTCCATACCAAACCCCAGGTTGAACTCGTTGGCCTTAAGCTCACTGATGCGTTCAGCTAAACATAAACTCATGGAAATGATTATTCCAACTGACTGATTGTTATCTTGGCCTCTGCACTTCCGTTCGTTAGAGGGGCTGCGTCTCAGTTCTGAAATGACAGCCAAATTGTACTGCTGCGTGACAGCTGGGTAAATTGTGGGTCTGACCTCGGACTCGTGGAGGAGTATGAGCTGCAGCTCCATCTCCTCCAGCGCGCTGCTCAGACTGCAGCCAATCAATGATGCTCCGGCTTTATAAAGTAAGTGCACGCAAAAGCCAGAAGTTTCTTGCCCGTTCGTTGGGGCCCATCTGATCCTCAGGCTGACTGCTGGTAACATAAAGAGAGTCCGATGAACATACAGTACGTGCGTCAGGGTGAGAAAAGGGGGTTTCCATGGAAACTGGCTGAGGGGACACAGGAGATGCCCGTTTGCTCCACTCAGCCCCTGTCAATGCTGACAGATCACAACATGAAGATGCAGCCAATTGCTCACCCTCCTTCACTTTCAATTTCCCTCCTCCATTTTGCATATGTCCAGCCCTGCCTCCTCCCCACCTCCCCACTCTCCTCTGATCTCTTCATCTCACACACTCTGGCCTCCTCTCACGAACTCTCCCGTCTTTTTCTCTTTTCTCTCATGCCTGTCACTGATAGTATGAGATACAGGAAAATGATCTGCAGGAATGCTGGAAAAAGGCAGAGCCATGTCGTCTCATCTCAGCTGTGTCTGAGGGGACTTCCACACATAAAAACCTTATGTCCTTATGTAAATCACATGGTTAATATTCTATCTTTTTACACCTCTGGTATACATAATAAAAGCTTTAAAATAATTTAGTTTTGTAGCTCAAAAAAGAATGTGTGCATCGTACATTTACATCCCACTGAGCCATCAGCTCAGTGGGATTTCCTCAGTCCACCCAGCGGGATTGTAAATTACAACAATCATGGCTTTTATGACCTTGGTAATACTTTTTTATCCCCCTCATACCACCACGAAAAGGTTGAATGGCTGCTCTCGAAGGAGCTAACCCCATCAACCTTACCTGTCAGAGCTAAGCCTGGACTGCAGGGAGAATACATAGTTCCAATAGAAAAGTTTTTCCCCAAATGAAACAAAAGCTTTCAATTTATTTACTCTGTGTGAAAGGACATCTGCCTCGTTTGGAAACTATCTAACCTATACCAGCTACAAATTGTCGTCGAATGATGCTTTAAAGCTGAATTCAAGTGGAAGTGAAGCAAACCAATTCGCCTCTCATTCTTCTAAGCGCACCGAAGACATGGCCGACAGGAGATTGACGAGGCGATTGGTTCGCACGAGAACAAAAGCCCTGAGAGGAAGCTGAAAAGGGACAGGACGCTGAAAACACTCACAGATACACGGGCACGTATCTGCCCAGAAGCGCGCAAAGACAAGAGTGAGACGAGCAGGGGGCATCTGGGCGTGTTATCAGCGCTGTTGCCTGTAAAGCGCAGCAAATGGGATCTGTGTATCAGATTGAACTGCCAGTCAGATGTTGACTGATGGCTAAAAAGACCTGTCCCCTTCAAGAAGCCAAGCTTCCTTTTAGAGGATGCTACAAATTAACAGAGGAAAAGAAAAGCCAGACAGGATGGGCTCATCGGCGTGGGCAAAGGCAAATGTAAATGTCAAAAGGACGTTTCCACGATTGAAATCCCACCAATACACCTGTAGTACAGCACTATATGCCTACTGTCGCACAAAAAATAAAAAAACAGGACAGTCACGTTTATCACTGAAGGTTCTGAGCAACATCACTACTCCTCATCCCCAGCTGTACACACACTGCTTTGCAAATTTCTCTAATTAAGCCGGGTAATTAATTCTCATTTGCTAATGATACTCCTATCAAAACGGATGACGACTCTGAGGGGCCACATGTGCCATCGACTGCTGTATTGTGAGGTTAAAAGGAAGTTTTCCAGCGAGGATGTGTGGAATGATTAACAGGTCTGCGTATCATCAACATGCAGCACCAAAATTAGTGCCTCCAAACGGTCCGATACCGCAATAATTTATAGCCTTTAAAAAAGGAGAAAGTAAAAGAAATAAATAGCTTCTCACTTTTATGTATTTGATCTATAAATCATGCGCGTGGAGATCTGGAATGCTGATTTGTTGGAACAAAGAACAGTTTTAGAGCTCTGCTCCCACTGCTGTAGCTAAATCTATAACGCGAGTCTCAGAAGATCCCTCCATCTGGATATATGCTTCCTCCTTTTATGAAGATTTCAAAATGAAATTCTAATTAGGTTTTCCAAGACAAAGGCTTCAGCCTCCAAAGAGACAATGAGTGAATCAATTTAAATATAAGTCTTTAAGTCTTTGAAATATTTTTTTTCAACCTTTGATCGTTAAAAGAAGAAGCAGGTAAGGGAAACGCTTTGACGTGGGATCAATTAATTCATTCAAGCAAGAAGGCTCCTTTTAAGAATACTCACAAGTAGTAAAAAGTTTATATTTAGATGTCAAATCAACTCTGCTAATCTGCATTTCAGCTGTGCTTGGGAGATTTTAATCAGTGTTAGAACTCAACAATAATAAATGTCCTTTATAAAGCCTTGGCCAGCCTTAGCTAGTCCAGAGAAAGTCTGTAAGCCTGTGTGTGATGGATGACTAATGTCTTGGTATGTAAGTGAGGGTCTGCCTGCACTCTAAGGTCAGCAGAGTTCATTGTAACTGTATTCACAAAGGGTCGTGGAGGGCATTAACCCCCCACATGGGTCTGCCACATGGACCTTTGACCTGAGAGATGCAGACTGGGGCCTTACGAGCTGTGATGGAGAGAGGATCACTTTACAGCGGGACGCCAATCTTAAACCCACTCCCATCACACCGGGAACCAGAATGTTTCCCATGGATTTATGGACATAAATCAACTTCTTGCCCTGTCCTCGCCTAGAGCACACAGTGGTGTCCTCTTACACCGCTCCACTCTAAGTCTTCCAACTCTGCCTGGGGAAATCCCATTCCTGGCATTAGTTCTGCTGCGTGTCCTTCTTTCCCTCGATAATCACGCCAGTGAAAGTGCGAGGATGTGTGCGAGGGCTTCAAAATTCAACTAATGGTCCTCGGTTAAAAATAGGTGAATTACTTATCATCCATTGTGCCCATTATGGTGATAAATGTGGCAATAAGCCAACAACTGAAATTGCTCCAAGAAAGTTAGATTTTTCTTACTTCAGGTAAGCAACTTGTAGAGAATAGCGAATCAAGGGGACATCTGGGATGGTTATGAGTGTGTTGACAAGAGGAAATGGGGGTCACAGCGAAAGGCAATTACGCATGCAGAAGGCAGTTCAGCACAATTAAAACTAATGAGGCTTCGGCTTAAAACCTGCACAAGAATTAGTGATTTTCTGCCACATGTAATCCAGATGGAAAAGTGTAGTCATTACAGGGCTAATGCCCACAGTCATAGTATCCAGTGCACCTCTAAGATGAGATCTCTTTCAGTAAGTCATCATTAACTGAAAAATCAAGACAAATGTCCGAGATTAAAAGCAGAGTTATTGTACATGTTCATGCTTGGCACAAAATGGGACATACAAAATAGATATATTAAATAGAGCTTTTAAGGACTAAATCAAACTATTTTGCAGTGTAAGATGACAAATGGATGGGGGGATAATAGTATGGATGGACAGATGGATGGGTGGATGGATGGTTGGACGGATGGATGGTTGGACGGATGGATGGATGGATAGATTGATGGTTAAAAGGTTGGACAGTGTGAACACCAACACCCACCATGGTGGTGCTGGTCACAGCTCGTCTGTCCGGGTGACGGCTGAGCTGTCTGGGAAGGAGACTCCAGCTCCTCCGCCGGGGGAGGGCTGGTGTTGAGTTGGCCAACAGGGGGGGGCCACGGTAGGTCCTTGATCACTTTAATCTCTACTGCAAGTGTCCCCAGAGGAGGTGTGGAGGGAAAGAGAGGACAGCAACAAGAGAATAACGGTAAAAGGAGTGAGGAAAGGGAAGTAATGATGGAAAAGGGGAAAGAGAAAAGGAACAAAGAGTAAGTGAGAAATACTGTAGTTAAAAGCAGAAGGTGCCAGCTGTGGGAGCAGGTTTAAGCTGTGATCAAAGAATCAGCAGCACCTGTGGACTAGAGAAGGAAGGAACACAACAGGACTGAAAAGGAAGCAAAGTTAGATTCAAAAGTAGGGCTGGATTGTATTGCTTCAACTTTGGAAGAAGTTGTGACTTAAATACAAAGACTGTTGAAGATTGCCGATTTATTTCTTAAGTTAATATCAGCAAAAGGCTATTGGACCCCAGCTCTAGCTGTAACATATTGAACCTTACCCTCTCCATTCTGATTCTCTACAGCCCCTAAAAAAAGAACCTGACCCAAAAAATAACATAGGCTGTATAGCTTTCTCATATTCTTCAAGGATTATTTCATAACATGGTGTTCGATGCACTTATATATGGCATATTGTCCAAATAATCCAAGAGTCTGCTTTAAGAGTGCAACTGTTCTGCTGTTATTCTGACCTGAGGACTCTATATTAAGACAAACGGCAAGGCAGATCATATCTGTCACCGGTACGTACCTTGTGATAATCCATCCAGGCAGTGGACATTACCCGGGCTTTGCCCCAGAGATAATGTATGCCTTATGTCCAGCCAAGACATTAGCAGGCTAAATCAAGCACTCTCAGAGCAGCGCATCTGTTGCTAACACAGAGCCACTTGTGTTAAATAGCTGAGAATACTGAATAAATTAGATGGAGAGGGAAAGGTTTTCTTTTTTAAAATCATTTTAAACTGCATCAAAAGCCAAGAACAATAAATAAGTGTAGTCCAACAATAACAGCCTTGTAATACTTCAGTACTGTAATATCCTTAAGAGTGTGTGGTATTCATTGATTTATGATCGTTATCCAATTAGATTTCAAATCAAATCTTTCTGCAGGGCTATTATGAATATTACAGTGTCACTGTCCATGGTGCTGGAGATCTTACTTCAGTATGCTAAAAGAGAATAAACTGAGTAAAAGGTCGAATGGTGACACCAGAAGTTCCCTGGGCAGGTTTCCGCGTCATCAGAGGTGAAATCAAATTTTGAGTTTGGCTTTTAACTTTCATGTTGATGCGACTGTCTTCCAAAAACAGGACTTATGTGTACCAGGCAATGATGCACTCATAATTTGAAACCGAAAACATCCTATTTGTAAGACCACGTGCACGAGACCCGCAAATGAAAGCCACGGTGGCAAATGTGAGGACACAACGTTTATCACTAAAAGACAATCAGCTTCATCCAGCAAGCTGTTGTTGGTTAGCAGCTGTTGCTAGCAGCACTGTGGTCATTTTGCATGATTCTAACAAAAAGGCACAATGGAAGCATCTAAAGCAATAATATAAAACACAGCAGGGAATTCATATCACAGAGCCACATATCAAGCATAGTGGGGATCTGGGGAAAAATAAAGTATTAAATTGGTCATGTAAACAAAACTAATGTGAGTTAAATGTGCACTAATCAATTTCAGACACGAAAGGGTCAGGAAAGATTTATGGACGATGTGAATCAGTAGAAAAGGTGTACATTACTGACCGGATTTTATTTTATTTAAACAGTTCCCTCATGTGTAGTTTTGAGCACAGTGTGTAGGACTAAATGGTTATTGTACAATGCTTTACCTAATTACATGAATGAAACTGTGAATGTGGTAAATCTAGTAGTTAATCGGTTATACAGTATATATATTAAAGGAAAGCAATTATTTTGTTAAAGTAACTATATGGTGAGATTTGTCTATGTGTAAGCTACTCAGAGATACTGCAGCAAGCTGATGTGAAAAGAGCTGACTTCTTAAGCATCCTCGTTAAACAAGGTGTTGGTATACAGGCTGGTTTTCAATGGAAGCATTAACATGATGTTATAGATTTCTGTCCTCCACCCTGCAAGGAATTGCATTATAATTAGAAGCAATTTTGGTGAGATAGATGAAGGGCGAAACTGGAGAATATTCAATCCGACATGCAATTAAATGGCTGGGCTGGTGGTGTCAGGGGGCTAATCTCAATAAAAGGTGGCTAGAGGGAGGAGCTGCACACCGTGGATCAAGATGGGAGAGGTGTGGGGCGGGGGGGTGGAATGGAGAAAGAAGGTCAAAAACTCCGCAAGATATAACTTCTACTTTGTCGTGAAGCCTGGGACTCTCTTCCAACGAGATTAAAAGCCCAACACTCATTTCACATTGCAGATTAGCGTGTAATTGTTTGGGGAGCAGAAGCCTGCCTGCACTCTGCAGTCTCACAGTGGGGGCGAGCATGATTTGGGAAAACGCGGCTCAGAGTTGCTTAGTTCCATGGATGTATAATAGCAGTTAGCAATGTCAAAATGAAGGGAAACTATGGGAAATACTGTCAGCCCTTTGGCCATCACCTTGAATGAAGGCAGGAATATGCAGAAAGAAGCAGATCATTCTGACAGGGAACATGAAAGGTCCAGTTTTCTTTGTCACCTAATCTGACTGCATCAATATGTCACTTCTCATTTCCATTATTCCCAATCCATAATAGTGAACAACCCCTCCTGTTGACATAGAAAATGGGGCTCCTAACAATTGTAAATCAACAAACAACCCATCATTCAGAAATTGGCCATGTTAGGAATATTAATAGGAAACTATGAAAAGCATCTCTCTGTGCACTGCATGTATGTAAAATGTTATTTATTTTCGCTTTACAGGCATATCAACTGTGGATTTCAATTTAAGACTAAATGAAAAGTGCTGAATGCTTAAACAATGGACAGAGATCTACTTTTAATCAAGGATTATCATATCTTTATTTATTTGGAAGTATTCATTGACAAAGCCTGGCATTTATTTATACGAGTTTGTCATTTACTTATGGCATTTCATCACTATCAACATAGCAGAACCATAAATCAACAGCTACGCTCGTTTCCACCAATGGCATTTCATTTAGTTATGCTTAATTTGGTTGGCTAATTGCATGCATATTCAAAACAAGCTGGAAGACTGTGAGGTTAAGGCAGCTTTTTTACGAGAAGAGGAGCTCTCACCGCGAACCCAGCCTCTTGTGTTGATCCATTTGTTCTGTCGCCACTCAAATTATTACAGATAACTATGGCTTAATGCTCCAGGGGAACTGAAATGCCACCTCATAACTCTCTGCATACTGTGTCTGTCACATTATTTGGCTTTTTTTTTTTTTTTTTCCAAAGGAGCAGATCTGTTTGCACGGTTTGTATAAAAATAAATAAATGAATAGACCCAGGAAATGGATGACAGATGAAATGGCCTTCCCCCCATTCCATTACTTATACAGAGAGAAGAAATGGGATACTGACAGCTGTCCAGAAGGGGATTCTAAGGAAGGGAGCTCCATCAGGGAGGGTAACAGTGCTGTTCTGTGTGGCCAGTGTGCTTGAGTTAAGATAAGAGCTGTGGCAGAGCTCTGTGGAAGACGGCAGGACACTTTTGAGGCTCATGAAGGAGAGTTGTGAGGAAGGTTATCAGCAGTGTGTTGCAGCACAGGCTAGGAGAACCGGACAGAGCCGCACACTGATGGACAATGTTGGGGGAAATCGAATCAGCCAAGGCAGTGAGGAACAGATATATGGCACCCACAAAACAGCTGGCTTTAACTACAGCGAAAGGCACCAGCGCAGGACTGTAACCGAATCAATTATTTATTTTAGGACATTAAACTCTAGTCTCAAATTTCTGGGTCGTTAAGCCCATGAACATTCATTAAAAATCCATAAAGCTCTCTGAGACCTGGGGTGGAGGGCGACAGCGTCATCTCTGATCTCCCGTGTTAAATGTACAGCACTCTGGCCAAGAGCCAACTGAGCAGAGCTCCTAGTAGGTAACAGAGGGCAAGGAGATTAGGTATCAATGGCTCTTGGTCCCATTCTTTCTTAGACAAGGCTCAGATTTCTGACGTCGGGGTGCCCATGTCACGGTCCAGACAGCCAGAATATACGGGTTGACGGACGTGAGGACACGTTTGCTTGCCATCACATGCAGGCTCTTTAAATACGGTCAAATTCTACTACATCTCCCTCACTTTTCACCTCCAAACTCATCCATCACCTTCTGAGCAGCCTGGGGGGAGGTAAAAAAGAGGTTGCGGTGAGTGCGTTTGTTCAGTGGGGGTGGAGGGCAGCGAGGATGAGTGATTAGCAAAACCGCAAGTACACAGCCTCCCAACACCCCTAACAAGGCAGGGCATTTACATTCCACTGCATACTTGTCAAAGGATAGTCCAGGAGTGAGTAATAACAGCAGACCAAGTCTTATGGAGAGGGGAGCACACGGGCAGTGATGGACGCTGCGATGGAGAAATGGCTGCAGCTCCCCTCTCTCTGCTGTTAATGAAGACGAATGGTCTTTTGCACTGATTGCGTTATTGTGTTATAGCATGGTGGGAGGGAGTATGCGGTGTTTGATTGTTATTTAATCCTTTTCTTTAACAGCCACTCCAAAATTTAGGAAGGTAGCACATCTTTTTTCATTATCTGCCAACATTTAGTTTTTTTTTTTTAGACATTTTCATTTCCCTCATAATTGTTGGAGAAGAAACTGTGAATATTTCAATGGGTAAAGGTAAGAGCTCATACAGAAAAAAAAGAAAGAATAGGTGAACAGTATCATTAATCATTGATATTAGAAAGCTATGAAGTGCTTCAGTGGCTTCGGGACTGTAACTGAGCAAAATTGCCCTCCAGAAACCTTAAAGCAAAACTATAGTATAACAGGCTTTAAAATAGGATCTACCCACAGAGAGACTAGATTCAAATTTTATTGTGTGTTCCTTTAACGTAACTGCTGAAGACATCACAACAGTGTAAAGTGGGAATTTAAATGTAAAGTGTGCATTCCATAGAGGCTATAATGAAAGTGTTTCTTTTTATGAACAAAACCTTCAACAAAGAAAAATGTAAATAGGAAAAACTCATCTATATATAAAGGCAACAAGTTAGACCCTCGCAGAAACAAAAGAAAATAAGGCTGAGATGAAACCCAAGAGTCAACTTGTTGAGGCAAAAAATAAAAAAGAAAGAGAGAACATCTTTGATGTGCTATTAAGTCCATGGCCATTCATGACTTCCTTTTCAAGTATACATTCTATTTCTTCATGGAAAACAATCCAATACACAAACAGAAAAAAGTGATTCTGAACATTCTTTATGAAATTTTAGAGGAAGGAGGAATATCACTGACAGGCTGGGAATCACAAGAAATTGTCATATTTAAAGATGATAAATCTTGGAGCAAAAAATGTTCTCTCCAATGGACAACAATTCGACCTTAATTCCACCTAGAAATGAGCATGTGGTGTATATGAATTAACATCCCGTGGAGTGATTTATTATGGCTCGTGGTAATACTGACTGAATCTGTGGGATCAGTGAAATTAAACTCACCAGAACAGTCAGGTGAAAGGCCTTAGGATTTGACTTTAATTGAATGTTTTATTCTTAAACATAAAAAGGCTATGGTTTTATATAAATCATGATTCATTCAGAGTGTACTTTTCTTTACTACATTTCATTATCCACATTTACACTTCTCTAAAGGTTTGTCTTGAGTCTGTCCTCCCACTTGGTGAAACTCTATTGAAATATGGATTTACAACCAATCAGCTTTGGTAGAAACCTGCTTGCTATACCCTGAGATTTGCTGTAGAACATCTGTATAAAAGGCCCTACAGCATGTTTCTAACTGCAGTGTTAATCATTATCCTTCGGTAGCTCTCTTTTAGCTGGAGGAGTGCTTCAACCCAAATGCCCGTCACCTCATTGCTCTCTCTTCTTCTGAGCACCAACAAGAGTTAATTGGACTGGCAGCATCCGTGCCTACTAAAAAAACACTCATTTTAAGTATTCCTGCAATGTCTTTTCTGTCCAGTTCAAGCTCTTGGAAATCAAGTAGCATCCTGATAATGTCATTCGAATTAAGACTGTTTCCAGCGTGTTCTGAGAGGGTGACTGTGGACGTAGTTTTAATTTAATGACATTTAAGACTCAAATGTCACCGAAATCCTGCAACGACACTTCTAGAGAAATAGCAATAATCCACAAGTTAGAGCATCAGTGTTAAAACTCTAGCTAAAATAGATACAGAAAGAAAGAGACAGTCCCCAGCCCCGTCTCCATTGGTACCTGTGAGGGATTTAGAGGTGGAGTCCTTTCTTCTGTGGGGATCTGATCCAGTGCCACTTACAGAGCCCTCGTAGCTAATGCAGTCATAACAAAGCAGAGCTGTTCAAGGATAAAAAAAAGAAAAAATATATAAAGAGAAAAAAGAGATGATGAAAGAGTTGATGCTTGTTCCAGGTAAAGAGTTGGCATATATATTTGCTTTTGAAATTTGGAGCACCTCTTTGTATTCCAAAGCCACAAACCTTCCCAGAACAGCCCTGTTTAATGTTATGGCTGTGTTAGCCAAGCTCAAGCTCTCTAACCAGAGTGACGACCTGCACCTACATGCAAATGCTCAACCTCTCATGCCCCTCCCTGAGCAGCTTAGGTATCACCTTAGTTTAAACTAGCAGGAGTTGGATCAAAAAAGCAAAGAAGCCCGGACACCTGCAAAATGAAAGTAGCACTTTACAGGGAGAAAAGAAGAAGGGAGAGTAAACAGAGAGTTTCTAGCCGCTGCAGGAGAACTACCTGACCTGCCAGAGACCACAATGAAACATGTTAGAGCTGGAAAAATAGACACCAGGGTTAGTAAAGCAAAAGAGGAACAAATACTCATTTAACTTTAGTACAAACTCGACTCATCGATGAAGCAGCCATTACACACAGTCAACGTTAGATTCACTGTCTGAACATTTTAAATTAAAACAGTCTTCACAAGCCATGAGCTTACATCTTTAATTCTGAATAAAACTGGAAAAAAACAACAGAATATGTGCATCTGTTCTGTTCCAGTACAGCATTGTCAGTTCACAGTGGAAATGCAGTCCTGTACCTGCGAATGCTTTGGAAATCCTCTCCTTCTTCCACTCCCATGGCTGGTCGTACTCCTCGGGGGGTCGCTCGTCATCTTGGGGCAGTCGGCTCTCTCTGGGGCATCGTGAGCGCTCGGGGTCCGAGTCGCCCCCGTTCTCGGCTGGTTCGTAGGGTGTGTCGTACAGGGGCAGCTGCCTCACTGGGCCTTCCTTAGACCCTCGCCCACCAGACCTGATCTCTGCAAACATGGAAAAACAAAGATGGTTCCTGCCAGGTTTCTGAAACAAAATCTTACATGTTTCAGTGAGAAATGTCAAGCATCCGACATTACCAGTGGGGAGGATACTTGTGCCAGAGAGCATATCTGAGTATTTGAAGAATCAAAACTGACAATGCAAGGCGGCAGCAGGGCATAGAGATGCTGGGTTGCAATTTGATTTAATATTTACATGACCCACTTGCATTATACAGGAAGCAACATACGCATATTTAAATTCGACATGTGTAGCTTTATTAATGCTGTTGCTCTCTGAATGACAGTGTTGATGATTCATGTTGAGGCACCACAACAGGACGCTGTGTGTATGCTCAATTCTGCTTTCACCCTCCGCAGGAACAGCGGGGTGGTCTCTCTCTCCCCTCTGCTCACTGCAGCCATAACACTGACTGTGACAAAGAGCTGTCTGAAATCCAAGTGGTGCCGCTGACCCACCACAGCTCGCAGATAAAACCGGGACTTGGAAAGAGACCCTCACACACCACTTGAGCCGAAACAAAGTTGACGGACGACACTGACAAATAATGAAACTAGTGAGGACATGGAAATGCAATCCATTCCAAGAGTGAAAGCTGAATAAATTTAACACGTAGTATAATAACATTTCCCTGATTTCACCTCATTGTGTGCTAAATGAGTACACAGTGGGCATTTAGGTGAACCTGTTTAACTTATCTATTAAGAAAATGTTGCTATTTGTATACAAATGTGCATATTTGTAACAAAATCTTTCAAACTAAAACCTGTCAAAAGCCAATAACAATACAAAAATAAATGCTAAAAACACACAACAAAGAGTTCTTTATTGACGCTTTTCCGGTTACTAACTTGGAATAACATATTCTATATCTATAACAGTCACATGACAAAATTGGGAACAGGCCTAGTACATCTGTTATTGCCAATAATATAATTATTGACATAATTTCTGTCAAATATAAAGAAGAAACCCAGAATGTTTCAAACAAAAGTAATCATCTTTGTGATGACTGATGTTTCAGTACAAGTTTTAAATAAAAATTATTCAGGCCCTCATCATGTTGTGGTTGGTGGTGACAGTGTTCTGTGGATGTGATGGCAGAAAGAGGAAATATGAGAGCTAAAATAAAGGGGGAGGAGGGGGAGAGTCAAAGATCACACAGCTTTGCCGCAGGCTGCAAATGCATGCACAGTCAGAAAAGGAGGTTCTTTTTTTTTCTAAACTACATTTCGAGCCCTGACAAACAACATGGAGACACTTATCGCCTCAGAATTGTGATCAAGTTTGGAAAAAGTGTGTGTTTTCATTCTACATTCTATGGCAACTGAAGTTCTCGAAAATGCCAAATTCTTTGACCTCATGCAGTAATTGACAGTCTGAGGTGAAGCCCACTCATCCACCCACCCAGACGGTGAGGGCAGTGGAAGATTTGTAGGTCCTGGAGAAAAAAAAGCTGCAGTTTCTTAATGTTAGAGACTTTTAATCTCTCATAGAGGCTCCGTAAAAACAATTTGTGCAATCTTTACACAGTTCTAAAGGAACCCGCATAATCTCACTGATGGTGCAGAGCCTTAAAACATGGAATAATAAACATTTTCTGGACCATTTCCAGATCTTTGGAGGATGGGGGCTTTGAAGTGTCCACATTTTCTACGATAAATATATTAGGTCAGCATTGAGATAAGGCCAGTGAGACACTCCCTTGAAGGCTGTGTTGCACCTGTACCTTATGAGATATTTGCTGCTACCCTGCTTTAACTTATAAACTTCAAAGAAAGAGTGAAAGCACTATACATTTTTTTATAAAAGATCCTACATAAACGTGCTGCCTAACATGAATTATGCCATATGAATACCGCAGATCCAGACCAGAGAAATGATTCGCTTTAATTGATGTTGTCTCACTTTGAAAACTAAACAACAGATGGAAACTAAGAAGCACACACACACACACCTTTTAACGGTCCATGTAAACAGGGGTGAAGAAGACCTGACTGCTAATGAAGCTTTGTGCCCTTGAGAACTCTCCTCCTCTCTCAACTCCTCCTCCTCCAATCTCCAGTCTTCTTCTTCTCACATCAAGTTGTTAGCATCCTGCACCCTTCCTCCTGGGCCACATGAAGCTGTTAGAGACCGGCAACGCCGTGCAGCAAAGCAATGTGAAGAGAATGAAATATTATGCCACACTACTGCATAATTGCCTCTTAGCCCAGGGGAGCTCTTGCGGAAAAATGAGCGATGCGTTGGGCCTAATGGAGCCACCCGCTGCTGGGGGGGGGTTGGTGGTGGAGGAGAAGTGAGGTGAAGCTGCCAAGGCCTGCATCTCACTGTAATCCTGCATGTGGCAAATTTGAACTCTTTGATCTTAGCAGTTAAAAGACTTGGTATTATAAGATTGCGGCATTTGGCGGTACATGCCCTAAAGGTGAACAAATAGCTTTAGAAGAGGGTTAAAGAAGATAATGGGGGCTGTATATGGGAATCAAGATATGGGGCCAAGGAGGGAGGCTATTCCTGGAGTGACTCATATGGGGGGAATGTTTTAACCCAATGCATGTTTCTTCACTGAGAAATGCGACTGCTCTGATGCTTCAAGCATTGGCACAACAACTTTATTATTGTCATCATCATATTTTCTTCCTCCCTTCGTCTTTTCTGTGCTCTAGCGAGTTATGCTCACTGAGCTAGGTGGGGACACATCTGTCCAGGCCAATTACAGTGAGTGGCATGGTGTATGTTGGAACACAGCTGCAGTCTGTCTTCTTTTTCCCTCGGTTGGGGGTCAGAGGTCAAGCACCACACCCTCCCTTCAGTTACTTTCCCCTCCCCGGATGTCCCAGAGTTCCTTTCCAGATGCCGCGTTTCCTTTTAAAAAAAAAAAAAAACTTTTTAACAACTTGTACAGTCATGGCATCCAAAAGCGTGCAAAAAATCTTTTTGATTTCTTTCCAAATTGTCGCTCGTGTAAAATATCTCACCGCAACTGTGGTCGGCCAGGAAGGAAGAAGGATATGTGTGGTTGATTTAAGGTCACACAGAAATAAGTTGACTCAATAATAAGACTACAGTCAATCATGTTGAGTTCAAGAGCTGAAGATTAATAGTAAAGGAGAAAGAAGGTATTTCTTGCAATGAATTTGGGGATGTTTCTGTTCTACTTTCCACAGCAAAAGCCCTCTGGGCATATTACCATGGCTGAGCATGGGCCGGCAGAGAGCTCTGGATTAAATCAAGAAACATTAACTGCAACCAACCTGGCAGCCGCATCCTGCTGCATGTAAATGATTGCCCGAGCTATCTAGTCCTCATCATCCAGACCACTCCGCTCTCACTTAAGCTTATTTCTCCATAACTGCCAGCCAGTGAACTGACTGCATTTACAAGTAAGGTGAGAACAACTGCATAAGGCTACTCTGATTGCAAAGCTAATGCTTTTAAATGCGTTAATCTACTGTTACTTTCACAGCTATCCGCCTACATCTTATGCTGCATTGTGCTTGCAGGAGTACGGGGAATTCAATCTGGATTTGATTGAGGACATCTCTGGAGCACTTGTGAATTATTAAATGTGACTGACTTTCGCCACAGAAAAACAATGCACAGAGCAAAGGACTTTTTCAACCCGATCCCCGGGCATATTCCTTCTTGAAGAAATTAATTATTTTCATTCGAGATTGCTACAGTATTCGCAGTGTGAATATCGGCTGACTGAGATGAGTAACAGGATACACACAGAATGTTACTGTAATGAAACCCTCCTCGGCCTTTAAATAAACACCCCTGCAGATGGCTTACTGAGAGGTAAAGATTACCTGCTGACATAATACAATGAACAGCAGGACCACAATGTATTTTTTTTACAACTTCATCTGTGGCCAAGCGAAGCTTGTTTCAGGACCATAACGAACACCTTCATGTTCAGCGCAGCTTCTCTGCACTTTTGATCCCACTCGGTTTGATTGCCCACATCTGTGCTGAGTGACCGGCGCTGATCTTGCGCTGGTGGCTGGGGATTTGAGGCTTCATCAGAGGTCATGCAAAGATAGCGCGTGTCAGTCAGCGCGCTGGCTGACAAGAGGAGGTGTGCACCTCCCTGACCCACGGCAGCCCACTCTGCTGTGAGCGTAAAGCTGGGGGGGGGGGGGGCTCCCATCACTGGCTGCTCCCCACACACCCCTGGGAGTGGAGCCACAACAAGCAAAGACAAAACAGCCCAGACGGTTTCGTCCTAACATCTTGCAATCCGCTTTCGCGTCTCGGTGTGTTTTGAAAGATCAAATACAGCAAAGTGACGGGGAATAAATTAGCACATGTGCTGCTTCTGGCCCTCTCATAACAAACGGTTCTCACTTGATTTATTTAGAAAACTATTTGTGTCTGCTATCAGCTCTGAGCATTTCCAGCCACGCTGCTATTTTTCTATCAACGTAACGCCTCTGTCCGCCGGCAAGGAAGATGTGCGTCCATGGGCTGCTGCGTCTTCATCACCCTCCCGCAGACCGAACAGAAACAGCCCTGCCATTTGTTCTCTGTCTCCTCCTTCCTCCTGGCTCACACTGTGCCCAGCCTGTGGTGGCTGCATGCTGAAGCCTCTGCCTGTCACACATGTATGCATATATATACATTTATAGGAAGCCTGCAAGCCAATTCTCAAACCAAGTCTATTCATGCTTGGCCCACAGAGAAAGTGCTTTGGGTCTTGGGCTATTTTTGGTCCGAGCTTTCTTCGAAAAGACTTTCCGATTCTGCTGGAAGCTGTGCTTGATGACAGACGGCTGTTATGGAGTGAGAGGCACTTGCAGACAGGCCCATGGAGCCATGTCACCTTTGTCAACTGATGAAGGAAAGGATCACAATGGTATCTCAGCACTGGTGCGCATATACACGTTTACAGGAAACAAATATAAGAATAAAAGAAAAGGAAAAGGGTTCTCCTTTTAATAGTGACGTGTTGGAGTTTGTGTATGGGTAAATCTTCCGT